TGAAATTAATGCTTTTCAATTTGTGAACAAAAATTTTAATTTTCGTTCGAATTATTTGTTCAAATAAGGATAGGTCATTGAATTTGAAGGCCATTTACTGTAGCCTGTGATCTCGAAATTGAAACTGTTTCTAGATGTTGTGACAGTATTCCACAGTATTTGCATAAAACTGTCTACAATTTGTTTTTACTAAACAAACTGCAAAAATTTTTCAATTTTTAGTTGAATATGTCATTCGCGTTACTGCTGTTTAACTTTGCAAGGTTTTGGAAAAACGTTATCGTCTTTATCACATTTTTTACAAGTTTGGTCAATGTGCATGGAAACTCTCGGGTAATTTTTTAAACTGTAATTTTCTTTCGCTTAGTATCGAACTATAGCACATCGTTTAAACTGTGTCACGCAGTTAAAAAAACCGGATAATTACTTGAAGAGTATTAGGACGATTTTTGACAGATGCACTCAAGCTGTACATTAGGCTGAAACAGATAAACGGTTAATTTTCTGTTGCTGCGCAGTGGTGATTCGTGAAGTTTCTGATTTCCAATGACTGAAGCTCATCAAAGTTAATTTGAGAAGCTGTACAACCATTTTCTTCGCTCGACATTGTCTCAGGAGATCGTGTAACGTGTTGTAGTCACAGTAAGGTGGGTGAGACATTAAAATGGTACGATTTTTGCCTGAACAGCGATACTGTCTCCTCCAAATCAAACTGCATGAATATTTAATGCTAATTTAGAGTTGTGGAAAACTGTTAACGATGAATAACGACGTTTTCAGCTTACCGACACTTGGGACTGTATGACTATTTTCATTTAGTAGTCTTTTCATTATTGGCAGGAACCTTTCAAACAGAGTTACTCTCACATGAATCACATCTTTATCTGTTGCTGAAGTGTCTTTCAACAGCACTGCTAACAGCTTAATTATCAATGAAAAAGAAGGCCAATTTTACCTTGAACACCCGCTTTTGTGAATATTGCCTTGTGTTACCGTCCACTCAGTATCATTTTCGTCTGAAGACTTTTAAGTTTTGTCGCAAAAGCTTTTTTGAAATGACAGCCGATGAATGAATGTTTGAATTACCTTGCCGACTGGATGATTATTCTAGACTAATGGTTGACTAGTTTCACAGTGTTTCGTAATCAAATCGCTAACTGATTACTTCTTTGGTTCCTGTCTGTATCCGACAAAACTTTAGGGAAATGGCAGATTTCAGAAGTATCAAATGTGAGGTTTTGTAGTTTATTACTTGAAAAGACGAAAAGTTTCTGCAATCTGTTCCTGCATTGCTAAAATTAGTTTCAAAGAAAACACAGAACTTCAGGAAGACTTTAGTAATTAACTGTAATTGATTATACCGCAAAATTAACACATCTGCGGTGAGATTGGAAGAGCAGGTGCATGCTTTGTTAAGGTTTTAAAATTTATAAGAAGTGGTGAATGCCTAATTATTTGGTTTCTGAAATTCAACATCAAGTAAACTGGGTAACAGTTATAATCAAGGCAATCATAGACTTTTGTTGCTAATGTAATTACTTAGATGTTTGCGATTTCATTTGGCCCTAAGAAACTCTTGAACAAACAAAACCGTTTGCAGATACAAAAGTTCTTCAACGGCCAATGTTGGATATTACGGGCAGTTTATGATACAACAATTTATCTCTTCTCCCTTTCACTGCTTTTCATGGGATTTGAACGTGTTGTTGCTACTTTAGCTGTCACATCATACGAGCAAAATGAACCAAACATTGTTGCACTAATTTTGGTGATCGTACAGGTACACACAGTTTTCGAAACAATTTTCATGCTTTTTACTGAGTACGAGAGGGAAGAAGATAAAAGTGACTAAACGCAAAAAAAAGAAAAAAAAAAGTTAGTCAGTTATTAGCATCTAGTGTACTTGTTTTCTGCACAAGAGGAAATTCATCGGCAATGGTAAACGATGAAGACAGTAGTGTTACCGAATTGCTATTTATGGCTTTCAAACTTAAATAATGTAGCATTGTGAACATTTAACGTTTTGCACCGACACTTGTTACTCTAGGAATTACTGGTTTCCAAGAAAAAATGCTTACATAGTCTGTATTTCACGCATTTCATCCCTCAAATTGTCTTCTTGTGAAACACTGACACTGAACTTTTATAGTGGTTGATTTCAATGGTAGCAACTTCTGTCTTCTTATTCTTAGACCTTTCCAAAGTGACTATTGAAAATCATTACTCATGCTCACTAATTTATCATCATCCTGTACTGCTTTCCTCCGTTTTCTTGATTGGCGTTATTGGTTTCTTCAGCTTTGCTTTGGTGAGTTTAAACTGCCAAACATATCCCGATTATTATTAGTTAATTAATTAAAAGTAATGGCATGTAGAAGAGAGGTGGGTTAGTTTAGAACTACGTAAGTCATACAAAAAAGCAAAAAGAAAACAGGGAATTAACAGTGAATGCTGGCATAGCAAGTGTTGACAGTACCCTTCAGAACTTGTTCATGAATTTATATCTACGCGGAAGTGGCATTTCAAAAAATAAAAAGAAAAATAAGATGTTTTAACAGTTCTGCGCTTTAACTGATTACACCCATATGACGGACGAAATGAATTTCATTCAAATCTAACCCCTTCATGCTTCACTACAACTGCCATAGTTCTCTCCAGCCATTTTTAGCACTAAAACTATTCCTGAGCAGTCAGAGCTTTTGTTTTGGTAGGACTAACACGTGACTTTCAGCTCATTAATCTAAAAATTTCTTCAGTGAGTTTTTCTTGAAGAAAATCAAAATTTACACAGACTGCTCGCTTTAATTAAGAGTTAAGCATTTACAGGAACTAGGCATCTCTTTACGAAATAG